GTCTGCAAGAAAACCACCAAGCTCAAAGACCACCAAGGAGTCCACAGGCTCCTCCTCAAACCTACTCCTCACTAGCACTGATGACGTTACCTAGTTGGGTCTTGAAACGTCTGCTAGAAAACAACCGAGCTCAGACAGCACAAAAGACCCCACAATCCCCCTCTTCTTCCTCTTCTCCTGTCTGCAAACTCCACCACCTTCTAGCACTGATGATGTCACCTAGCTGGGTCATGAAATGTCTGCACAAAAGCGCCCAAGCTCAGAGGCCGCCCCCCTACCCAAGGGCCCCACCGTCCAACCCTGAGCTACGAAGACTCGCCTTGATCGGTTCCATTTTGGGCAAAGTGCACCCCCAGCCCCCTTGCTCGGGAGATCGCCAGCAAGCCCCTGGCCCAACACCAACACAGGCCTGGGTGTGTGCCCAGCTGTGCCAACCCGTAGCAGTGGGTCTGGGTGCAAGCTGCAGCAGACCTCCCTCTTCCCACTCAACCCCGAGGCCAAATTAAGAAGTAAAAGGACGCTGGATTGGAGCTCCGGGCCATCAGGATTGGGCACCTAAAATCCAGCAGCCGGTGGGGCATGCCCGGACTCGCGGGCATGCACTCTCAGGCCATCCGTCGTCCTCGTCCTTGGCCTGCTTGGCAAGGTGAGGGTTTAAGTGTTTTCCACCGCCTGCAGCCGGTCCCCTCCTCTGCCCAGCAGGGCGCTGGCGTAAAGCTGGCGAAAGGTGATGGAGGCGTGGACGGATTACGAGGACAAAAGGTGGCTTAATTGCCCAGGAGGCGTGGAGGCCCCCACCACCGATTTCCTCCCAAGCCAAGCCGGGGTGGGTCCCGTAATCGCCTCATCACTTTAAAATATTAATGCTGCCTTCCTCTGTGGGCTTCCCAATTACCCTAATTGAAGGCAAATTGGCTAAAGGAGAGCCAAGGAGGTATCAACTGGCTTTAATTCGCTCAAATGACAGTTTTAAACTTGGCTAAACCTATTAGACACCCAGGCTGAGAACACTTAAGAGACACTGTCTCAGCTTACTCGGGTCTGTGTGTGTGTGTGTGTGTGTGTGCGTGTATACAGGCAAAGGATTGAGGGAGGAGGGTGAGGGAGGAGCCCAAAGCAAAGCCCAAGAGCTAGGTGGGATGTGGCCCACCCTGAGCCGGCCTTCCTTGCTGTTTAAGAGCCATTAGAATTGGCCCTGGGTAAGTGTGTGTGTGTGTGTGTGTTTCAATGTCCCCAATGAGTCACAAAACAGGGGTCTGTAGGAAGGGCCCTGGGAGACAGGAGGAAAGGCTGCAGTCTAGATCAGGGGTCTCCAACCTTGGCCACTTTAAGACTTGTGGACTTCAACTCCCAGAATTCCTCAGCCAGTTTTGCGGCCCGGTCTCTTCTTAAAAGCCTCCAGTCTACATCTACAACTTCTGGTGGCAAGCTGTTCCACTGCTTGATTGTTCTGTCACAAAGTTTCTCAATTCCAGGTTGCTTCTCTCTTTATTTCCGTTGCTTCTTGTCCTCCCTTTGGCGTGGGGGTGGGATCCTGCGTGCATGCACAGATGCACGGCACACAAGGGGGGAATTGCACACGCATGCATAGAGGGCGTCCCCCCCCCCATGCATTGCCTTCTTGGTGCTGGCATGCAAGCACAGGCACAATTATTGGCACGGGAGCCGCAAAAGGTTAGCCACCACTGTCCTATCATATCACTCTCAGTCCTTCTCTTAATTAGAAGACTAGACATACCCGTTTCCTGAAACGGTTCTTTCATATGTTTTAGCCTCCAGGAGCCCTAATCATTTTTGTGGGTCTTCTCTGCCACTCAGTCCAGATCCTCAACGTCTTGTTTTTGTATCGGGGTGACCAGAACTGGATGCAACATTTCCAAGTGTCAGGGGTGGTATTCTACCAGTTCTGCCCGGATCGGCCAAACCGGTAGCTCTAAAGATCATCTGTGAGCGAACCAGTTTTCTCCGATGATCGGCTATTGGGCCTTCCTGCTGGCCCTGGCTCTATTCTTATCTTTATTTCCTGGTTTTCAAGTTCAGCTGCTTCGCGCGGCAGCTGTTGAACACAAAAGGAGAGTGCAGAACTGTAGATGGTATCAAACACTCTGCACGTGTGCGCAAAGCGCGCCCACCAAACCGGTGGTAAAAAAATTTGAATCCCACCACTGCCAAGTGTGCAGAAGATGCATGGGTCGTGTTCCCTCCTGTGGCACTCCAAAGGAGGATACAAATAATCAAATTTATTTATTTAGCAACTGTTCAGGGTTACGATGGCACTGAAAAAAAGTGACTTACAATAACTGGTTCTCGCGCTTATGTCTGTCCCGCAGTTGTCCTTCTCCTCCCTCCACTCCATAAACCCTCCTCCCTTCTAGCACAGATGATGCTTCCTCCCAAGTTGGGTCATGGAACATCCGCAAGAAAACCATCAAGCTCAGAGAGTAACAGGGGTCCTTCACCCTGGTCTTTGAAATGTGCCTTGGGTCTGATCTTTTCCCCCCCCCCGGCCTGAGATATTGTGAGCTTAACTGGATTGAATGATGCGGGCTCAGTTTATGACGTGAAGCCCATGGGTTTAACACACTGCAGTCGTTGAGTCACGAAGAATCACGGCTGGTCTCAGAAATCTAAATTACCAACGAACAATAAACTAGATGTTACGTGGTGGTGCAATTTTTACTTCGGAAACTATCTTGATGTGTTAGAATCCAGTCTGTCCTTACCAACGTCTGGCAGCTTGTAGTAAGTTGCCCCCTGCTGGGCATTTGGGGAAATACTCCCTCCCCTTTTCTTCTGAACAATAGCAAATCTTTGCAAGGGAAAACAACTTGGGCAACTCTGCATTTATTCGAAAGTCAGTTATTTTATGCACAAACCAAATAGCTCGTTTTTTGGTTAGGGGCTTTTTCTACGATGTGACCTGTTGGTGGAGAGGTCGAAACACCCAGCCCCCCCCCCCCCCCATCCTGGTCTCACTCCGCGGCCTTCCTTCTCAAATCCTACAGCGTACTTTAAATGTGTTCAACCAGCTTAGCCTGCTGGGAACAGAAGATCCAGAGATAAGCCGTGGCAAAAATAGGGAGGCATTAAGTATCTGAGCTGCCGTCCACCACCCTGGAAGCGTGGCTACAAGTGTGTCAAGGAGAGGTTTCCAGTTCTTCTAAAAAAGGTGGAGCACGGAAGATCCTCACTCTCTTCTTTTGTTTTGAACCACATGGGCAGGATTGCACCTGAACCAGTTTCTGATTTCTCCTCTTCCTAGCCACATGGTGAACAGAAGTAGTGGGCAAGGGAGAACTGCAAAGGTGTGTTTGAAAGGAATAGATGTCTGTCCGCTCTTGCTCTGCATAAACTTGGTGCCTGCCTGTCACACGTGGTCGAGAGCCCCAACCTGGCCTTGGTTGAGCTCAGCTGAAAGTATCTGAACCCAGATTATTCCATGAACCATGGTGAACCACATCAGGAACATCAGTGGTGGGACGGTGCTGGTTCAGACCGGTTCTAATGAACCTGTAGCTTCGACTATCAGCAGACTCCACCCACCTGCCCTATATTTTTCGTGTTTTTCAGCTCAGCTGATTCCCACGGCACAATAGATTCCCGCGCCTCAGCTGTTTTACTTACCAGGGCTGCCCTAGAAGGTAAGCTGTAGTGCTTGAAATTGATGCATTTTGTAGTAAAATTTTTTGAATCCCACCACTGAGGACCGTGTATGAACCTAGCAGATTTAATGAATCCAGTTTGATGAAAAGAAGGACTGGGGAGAGGAGAGTTCCAATATTTGAAGGGCTGCCCCAAACAGGAGGGGGTCAAGCATTTTCCAAAAACACCTGAAGGCAGGACAAGACACAACAGATTGAAACTAATCCAGGAGAGAAACAACCAGTGGAACAGCTTGCCACCAGAAGTTGTGGGTGCTCCATCACTGGAGGTTTTTTTAACAGACTGGATAGCCATTTGTCTGAAACGCTATAGGGCAGGGGTGTCAAACACAAGGTGTGCGGGCCGGATCCGGCCGTAGGGCCGCCCTGTGTACCCAATGCGAAGAGGAAACATTGGGCCAGCAGTTTGGGTACTGGCATCAAGCTGGCCACGCCCACCCATCCAGCCACATCCCCTGCCACACCCCGATGGTCAGCCACAGCCCTAATGCAGCCTCAATGAAATTGAGTTTGACACCTCTGATATAGGGCCTTCTGCTTGAGCAGTGAGTTGGACTAGATGACCTCAAAGGTCCCTTCCAATTCTGTTATTCTAATTTTTATGTTCCATGGAACAGGTTCAGTTGCTAAGTCGTGTCTGTTCACAACCACACGCACCATAGCACGCCAGGCCCCCGTATCCTTCACAATCTCCCTGATATTACCAAAATTCACATTCATTGTGTCGATTACACTATCTAATCATCTCCTCTTCTGCCGTCACCTTCTCCTTTTGCCTTCCATCTTTCTCAACCTCGGGGTCTTCTTCCAGAGTCCTTTCTTCTTATTTGGTGGCCAAAGTATTTGAGCTTCAGTGTCTCTCCTTCCAAAGAAAAGTCAGAGCCGCATTTCTTTTAGGATCGGGTGGAAAAGGTAGCAATGTGTTAAAGGGGGGGAAAATGCTAAATCCATCTGAAGTGGAATTCTTGGAGCTTCAAACAGGAGAAAACATTCTGACAAAAAGGCTCAATTTCAGAAAGGCCTGCTCATGCCTTTCTCTCCTCCGCCACATCTTCTGGTTCAAGAACTCATTACCAAAACACTTAGTGTGGAATCCCTTAAGAGTTAAATCCTGATTTTTTTTAAGAACAAAAAAGACTAATTATTTCCAAGTTCTATTCCTTTCCCAGATAAAGGGAGAGTTGTGGAGAGTAAGTGCCAGGAATCTGCATTTCTTTCCCATTGATAAAATTAAGCTGAAGACGCAAGCGGCGTGAGGAATAAGGCACTTTTCTGTCTGGTATGGTTGAGGAACAAGATAGTAAGAAAATGAGTCTACTCATTGTCCGTTGAGTTATAAAACTTTAATGTTTTATTAACACACGCAGACATGCACAGACTGATTGACCCTATCCAGGAATGCTGACCGAGATCCTAAACCTGGATCTGCATGGCCAATATTCTATACTTTTTAGGCTTGAATAGCTACAGGAGTAATTTGGAAATTTCAGCTGGTTCAGAGAATATGTGCTGCTGAGCAGCACCGAAAACAGAATACTACATACCAAAACTCTTCTTGTGATGACCTTTAGCTGTGTGAAGTGGTGCATCACAGGGCAACAATTTTTGCACCAACGTACCTCAGATGGGCTAACTTACAGAAGGCGTCCAAAATCCAGGACTCCCGAGGGACTGACATTTGGGAAAGCTGTTGCTACTTCAATGCTACTGGCTGCTGAAGGTCACTCGGTCTTCATTTTCAATGTTCCATGACAGTTTCCCAGCCAGTCTTGCAATCCCTTTTTCTCTCTCCAGCCACTAACCTGCCTGCTGATGCTTCCTGCCAGATTCCAAGAAAATGTAATGAGGAAGCTTGGAAGTTCTCACTGCTTTTTTTTCTTACCCTTGGTGATTTCGTTTCTCTTTTTAGGTAAGGAAATATCTCTGCAAACAATGAATCTATGGAGCTTGGGTCACCCAGCAAATAAGCAAGCCACAATTTCATGATTAATCAGGATTTATCACTCTGAAGGACATGGACAATACTTTTTCTTCCATTCAATTGTTTCAGATTCAGAGATTGCCTAGACAAGTCCCTGCAGATTTCTTGGCAAGTTTTTTCAGAAGTGCTTTGCCATTGTCTTCTTCCTTGGGCAGAGACATAGTGACTAGCCCTAGTCTTCCAGTTGCTTTATGCCTTAAGGCAGTACTAGAACTTACCACATCCTAGTTTAGAACTTGGGAACAAACACCAAACTGGCTCTCTGGATATTACTCATGGCTTATGCCATGGGGACATTGTCAATGCCTTGTGAGACAGAGGTGTGTTTCTCCCCACTGGGCTTCAGTGCCATCAATGGAGGTGTCACTTTGACCATTCAGCAGGATTGAGCCTTGGGGACACTCCTGGCCCTTCCTGTCAGACCAGGTCCAAAATGTGGTTGACATTCGGGGAACACCACCTGGCCTAGTGTTCCTCAATATTGGCAAAGAAATTGCGGACTCAAGTAAGAATTCTGGCTTGATTTATTCTATTGTTTTCTTGGTTGCTCATGGTCTTCTCCAACATTGAAGTTCAAAAGTGCCAATGGTCTCTCTTGCCTGCTTTCTCAAAATCCAACTTTGGATTCCACAGAGGGTCATGGAATGCAGGAAGAGCATGGTCTGCACCATTCCAACTGCTGAACAGGGCACTTCAACTATCCAAGTGCTGAAAACTGCAGGAGCGATAAAAGGAGTGTTGAAATATTTTAATCATTTATCCTGTTAGCCTATATATTTATAAAATTTATTGGCCCCTTAAGGATAACTCTGGTGGAAAGGAAGGAAGGGAGAAAAGATAAAAGAAGATATGGGCAAGCGGTAAGGAAACTTTACTGAGGGGTTGGGTGTGTGTGTGTGTGTTTGTGTACATATTGCCATGTAGCTATTGCCATTGGAAGAAAGTGAAGGGGGGGAATGACGATTATCAGGGTTTGCATGCATGTAGCTTGATACACATTGCCAAACTCAGAAATCCTGACACAAATTTGAACTTAAGACTTATATACCACTTCACAGTGCTTCACAGCCCTCTTTAAGCCGTTTAGAGTTAATATATTGCCCCCAACCATCTGGGTCCTCATGTTACATGAAGCCTTGTCGATTTTAGCTCACCCACATATGCTGGGAACGTCAGGGGCCAAAGGTTGAAGCAGCTGAAGAGGATTAGCTTGGGGAAAACAGGCTTAATACCTTGGCTGCTATTTTCTTAAGTCAAAATGGGGACCGGTGGATTTAGGCTAGGGCGCCAGTCCAAACTCACCTTGGATCAGTCCCTGTCTAACCCCAGAAATGAACACTGATACGTTGCCTTGACGGTTGCTTCCCGTCTCCTTAAACAGCCTCCCTAACCCGAGGCTCTTGAACCACAACACATATGTGCTGGCTGGGGATGATGGGAGTTTTCCTCCTATACAGCTGGGGAAGAGAATGAAGGAAAGCAAATTGCCCCCTCATGCCCCCACAGATTTACCTGTCAAAATCTGGGCATGCCTGTCAGTTTATTTATCAAGCCATTTTAGGATTCCACCTTCTTTTGATGCTTGTCACGGTTCTATAACTTTTTTAAATAATCCTAATTTAATTTTTAATTTTACACATTGTTTTATTTATCGGTTGTATTGTATTGTAGAGTTCCTCTCTGAGGGAGATGGGCAGTTTAGAAATATGAAATATGAACAGAATAAAAAATCATAGTCCTTAACTTATGACTATCTATTTAGTGATCATTTGAAGTTATGACAATTGTAGAAAAACGTGACCTCTTACTGGTCCTTGAGTTTATGATTGTTGCAGGGTCCCTGTGGTCAGGTAATCAGGAATCTGAGGCCTGGCAACTGGCATATATTTATAGTGACTGTTGCATCCCAGGGAGCTGTGATTGCCGTTTGCCACCTTCCCAGACTGGATGCATGAGGATGCTGCAGGTGGTGCTACCAGAGAAGGGGCATTAAGAGCCCAGGTGGCGGTGTGGTTAGAATGCAGGCTTGTAGACTAACTCATTGCTCATGAGTTCAATCCTGACCAGCTCAAGGTAGACTGAGCCTTCCGACCTCCCTTTCAAAATTGGTAAAATGAGGACCCAGATTGTTGGGGGCAAAAGGCTGACTCTGTGTAAATTGCTTAGAGAAGGCTATAACGCACTTGAAGTGGTATGTAAGTGTGAGTGCTATTCTCTCCCTCTTCTTTCTTTTTTCATTCCCTCTACTCTCCCCTTCTTTTTCTCCATTTTTTCTCTCCTGCTCCCCCATCTCTCATTTCCCTTCTCTTTTTCTCTCCCTCTTCTTTCCTCCCCTTCCTCCCTCCCTTTTTTCTTCCTTCCTTCCTCTTGTAAGAACCATTATGGTGCAATGGTCAGAATGCAGCATTGCAGGCTGACTCTGCCCACTGCCAGGGTTTGAGCCTGACTCAGGGTTGACTCAGCCTTCCATCCTTCAGAGGTCAGTAAAAGGAGGACCAGATTGTTGGGGGCAAGAGGCCGACTCTGTAAACTGCTTAGAATGGGGCTGTAAAGCACTGTGGAGCGGTGTACAGGTGGTCTTTGACTTACCACAGTTTATTTAGTGATTGTTCGAAGTTACAACGGCACTGCAAAAAATGATTTACGGCCATTTTTCATACTTACAACCATTACAGCATCTCCCTGGCCACATGATCAAAATTCAGATGCTTGGGAATCGGCTCATATTTATGACGGCTGCAGAGTCCCAGGGTCATGTGATTCCCACTTGGTGACCTTCTGACAAGCAAAGTCAAGGGGGGAGCTTGCTTCGTTTAACCAAAGTGTTATTAATGGCATCGATTCACTTAACAATGGTGGCAAGCAAGGTCGTAAAATGGGGCAAAACTGACTTAAATGTCTCGCTTAGCAACAGAAATGTTGGGCTCAATTGTGGTCGTTAAGTTGAGGATTACCTGTATAAGTGCTATTGCTATTCAGGAGGGAATAAAGCAGGGGTGTCAAGGCCCGCAGAGGCTGGATCTGGCCCGTGAGGCCACCCTGGAAACAGCAAAGGACTGGCCTTCTGGTGCCTCTGCCAGTGAAAATGGAGTAGCTCCGTTTTCAGCTGTGACTGCCTCCTGCAGCCCTCTGCCAGCGAAAACCGAAATCGGGAGGGCCGCGCACAGCCCCGCCCCTTTTCACTGGCAGACTTCTAGAAAAACAAATTACTAGCAAAAGTGAGTCCTCCCAGCCTGGGCCACCACATGTGCCCCCAACATGAGTAACGTCAAGCTGGCCATGCCCACCTGGCCACACCCATCCATCCTCCCAAGGTCAAACACAACCCTGATGTGGCCCTTAATGAAATCAAGTTTGATACCCCTGGAATAAAGAATGCCGCCAGGCTGGTTTCGTCACAAAGTGCAGTCAATGCCGGCGTCCCATGAGGTGCATGTCCTTAGCATTGGGTCGTTGAAGCTGCACTAACAAAGCCTGCAGTAGAAGCGGATCATCTTCCCCTCTTGACCTGCAGAAGCAGGAGAAGGAATAGGGACACTGGGCTTCACTCTTTGACTCCATCCAGCTTGGCTTGACTTCCTCAGGCCTTACCAAGGCTGACCTGTGCAGGGAAAAAAGGTCACAGGGTACCACCAGATCATCCTAAATGTAAAATCTGAATTGCGGATTATTACCTTACAAAACGCTTTTGGAGAAAACATATATTTTTGCCAAACATATATTTTTGTTTGATCATGATCAACTGAATCATGATGACTTTACTGGAGTCTAGTCTTGCATTTATACACATTTTTAGTAATCCTCCAACATTGGTTAATTTTGGTGAGTTGATAGTGTAATAGTAAATAAAATAAAAAATAAAAATAAATAAATAAATAAATAAAAAACCCTAACCGGTCCTTGAAAAAGTGTTCCTGCGTGAAACTGGTCCCTGGTACAAAAAAGGTTGGGGACCACTGGATTAGACCATCTCTGCGGTCCCTTCTAGCCCTATGATTCTATGTTCTAGGAATGGACGATAGGGAAGGAGGTCAGAATTAAAGGAGAGGCCAGAGTCCTTAGACCACACTGTTGTCAAAGACCCTCTGGGAGCCTGAATGGCACACAAATAGAGAGAGTTAAAGGACAAGAGGATCAGGTGCCTTGGATGAAATGCCTTGTCTCCCATAGGATTATAATTGTTTTCCATATTCATGATCTAAATTTAGATCATGCAGTTTGCAAATGTTTGCTTACCACTGAGGTGGTATGGGTATTTTTATCTGCACCACTGTGGTGCCACTATCACTGCTTGTTAAAGAAAACACAGTGATAATCCATTCATCTGGGCCTTTTCTTCAATGCGTTAAACCTTTAATGTGTTGGCCCTCTGGTGGCTTAACTGCGGCTTCTGCGAAGTCATGAACCTTACAGAGATTTCGAGGGAACCACGTAAGAATTACAGGAAACCTCTCCCAAGCCCTTTCCATTCCGTTAGGGCAATGAGCGCCCCATTTCAAAAGACCAGGGCAAGGACCGGGAAAAGAATTGCCAATGAGAGTCTACTTCCTTCTCCTCCTTCTCAGGACGGAAGGTAACCCGAATTGGATGGCCAAGGGAAGTCCCAGGGTGGCAGAAAATCAACACAAAAACAAAAGGCAAAATTAACAACAGGTCACCTGGCACAAACACAAATCAGATGGCGAGCAGATGGTTGTTGAGAGCCTCAACAGGGAGGACGAGGTGGCGAGTTCCAGACTGAAGTTTCTGAGGAGACGACGCTTTTAGGACTGGGATAAAAATCATGCCCTGGTCCAGTCTCGTTTGGGTAGCTGCAATGCTCTCTAGGTGGAGCTACCCTTGGAGAGTAATTTGGAAGCTGCAAATGGTATACAATAGCGGTCCCCAACCTTTTTTGGCACCAAGGATCCTTTTTTGTGGAAGACAATTTTTCCACAGACCGGAGAGGGAAGAGGAGCACATCCCTTAGATCCCACGCATGCACAATTTCTCTTGCCCGCCACTCCCCTCCAGATGTGCACCCCGGTTCCTAACAGGCCATGAACCAGTCCCGGTTCACGGCCCAAAAGTTAGGGATCCCTGGTATAGAATGATTATGTTAGGTCCGCATGCCCCTTGGGTGCCGCATGTAACATAACGCAACCCAACCTGTACTGGTTGCTGGTTTACTTGTGGGTCCAATTCAAGGAGTGGGCTATCACTTTGAAAATCCTTTATGGCGTGGGTTCAGAATATCTGAGGAGCTAATCTTGCCCCAATGGAACTGGCCCACCCTGCCCGTTCTGGCAGAAGGAGCATGCTATGGGGCCCCTTTGGTCGAGGAATTTCGGCTGGTGGGGTCCAGAAGAAGAGCCTTTTGTGCCGTGCCTCCCACACCTGAAATAAGGCTGAGCATTAATCCCCTGCTCTGCTTGTTGGTTTGGGGGCCTTCCGTGTCTGTTAACATATTAAATGGTATAGGGTCTCCTGCTTGGGCGGAGGTGGGTGGGGTTGGACTAGATGACCTATAAGGTCCCTTTTAACTCTGTTAACATGTTAAATGGTGTAGGGTCTCCTGATTGGACGGGGGCTTGGACTAGATGATCAACAGGGTCCCTTCAGACACTGTCAATCTGTTAAATGGTGTAGGGTGTCCTGCTTGGGCGGGGGCTGGACTAGATGACCTACAGGATCCCTTCTGACACTGACAACCTGTTAAATGGTGTAGGGTGTCCTGCTTGGGCAGGGGGGCTGGACTAGATGACCTCTGAGGTCCCTTCCGACTGTCAACTTGTTAAAAGGTGTAGGGTCTCCTGCTTGGCTGGGGGGTTGGACTAGATGACTTCCAAGGCCATCTGTTAAGGTGGCTGAGCAGTGGCCTACCTGGCAAGGCAGTTGTACTTATACCTCTGGTTATCCGTTGCCAGCTCCCTGCCTGCCGTCATGCCTCCTAGTGGAGGGAGTTAAGGGCCCCCCAGAAGGCCTGTCAGCAACCCCACCCCCTCATGCCCGGCCAGCCTCGCAGGGCTGCCGTGAGGGAGGCCCAGAGCAGCAGGCAGGAAAGGCTCGCAGGGCACAACCAGAGGTTGGTTTCTTCCAGCTCTGGCCAACCTGGTCGGGCTGTTGTAAAAAACAAAACCTCCCCCCAAAAAAGCCTCCAACAACCTACAAGACTTCCCCCATCAGGACGCCGTCCTCCCCACCAGGCTTCTCGGGGGACTCCAAGCCCAATTATCCCCAGCCCGTAGCGGGGCTGGAGGATGACGTGAGTCTATCATATATATTGTCTTAAACCTAAATAAATAATAATTAATAAATAAATATAGCGCAAAAGCCCTCCCTACCCAGCAGAGAAACAAGGCCGGCCCAGCGCCATTACCCCCCACCCCCCGCAAAAAGAGCGGCCTACCTCGCAAGGCTGTTGTACAAGGCGGACAAGAGGGCCTACCGGCGCTCCGGGGAGCACGCGACTCACGCCCGCCTCCTCCACAGCGGCCTTTCCTCCTTTCTAAAAACCCGCCCTGGGGCCCAACGATGGCCGCGGTCTTCAATTCGGAGGATCTACTAGCCGCCATCTTGGATTTACCTCAGAAAGAGAGAAGAGAAACGTCGAGGGGAGGGGGAGGAAAGTAGGAGGCGCGCGGAGCATGCCGGGATAACGTCATGCGTCGCCCGGCCGGCCGGCTGACTCAACAGCTTCCCCCAGCAACAGGCCCCGCCTATGCCGGCCCCGTCTATGCTCCTCTCCGTAGACTCGCAATATTTTAGAGGCGCAAGCACGGAAAGCACTTCCGAGCTCGCCTTTCGTTCAGTTTCCCTCCTTAAAAAAAAAAAAGGCAGCCATTTTAAGACACCTGGACTGCAACTCCCAGAATCCCCTAGCCAGCTTTAAAAGGCCTCAAAAAAAAAAAAAAAAGAAAGAAAGAAAAAAAGGAAAGCTTAATCCTTGGCAGCTTTGGCTTGTGCCTCCATGGAGTTTTCATGCTCGCAGGGTGGAAGCGGGCTGCTCTCCCTATCTTTCTTCCAGGATCTTGGTTCCCCACTTGAGATTTCCTTGTGGTTCCCCATCCAAAAATCTGAGCATCACACTTTTGCTTTGGGAAATCAGCCAAGTTGGCCGAACCTGGACAATCAATAAATTTGCAGATGACACCAAGCTGGCAGGAATAGCTTACACTTTAGAACATAGGTAAAATAGAAAGACAACAACATAATTGGAAGGGACCTTGGAAGTCTTCTAATCCAACCCCTTGCTTAGCCGGATTTAAGATACAGAAATATCTTGATAGACTTGAACATTGAGCGCTATGTAACAAAATGAAATTCAATGGTTCTATATTTAGCCAAGAAAAACCAAATGCAAAGGGACAGTACAACTGTACCTCACTTAATAGAACTGGTAGTAACTTTGAGAGGGATCTTGGAGTCCTAATATGAGCTAGCAGTGTGCAGCACCAGCCAAAAATGCCAACACTGTCCCAGGCTGCATAAACAGAGGGATAGAATCAAGATCATGTGAAGCGTTAATACCACTTTATAATGCCTTGGGGTAAGGCCACACTTGGAATATTGCATCTAGTTTTGGCCCCCCGGTGTAAAAAAAGATGTTGAGACTCTAGAAAGAGGGCAGAGAAGAGCAACCAAGATGATGAGGGGACTGGAGGCTAAAACATATGAAGAACGGTTGCAGGAACTGGGTATGTCTAGTCTAATGAAAAGAAGGACTAGGGGTGACATGATAGCAGTATTACAATATCTCAGGGGTTGCCATAAAGAAGGAATCAAGCTATTCTCCAAAGCACCAGAAGGCAAGACAAGATGCAATGGATGGAAACTAAGGAGGAAAGCAACCTGGAACTAAGGAGAAATTTCCTGATAGTTAGAACAATTAATCTGTGGAACAACTTGCCTCCAGAAGTTATTGATGCTGGAAGTTTTTAAGAAGAGATTGGACAACCATTTATCTGAAATCGTAGAGAATTTCCAGAGGAGGTTGGACTAAAAGAACTCTTAAGGTCTCTTCCAACTCTGTTTTTCTGACAAATGTTCCCCAACATTCCTGTATAGTGCAATATTAATGCAATATCAGGGGTTTTCAATTCAATGTATAGAACGTGAAGGATGTGTGTTTATTTTCATAGTCCTAATGTACACTGAAGATGGTATTTAATTTCATTGTATGAGGTGCAATGACAATAAAGTAAACTAAAGACCCTTACCAGCCTGGAGGCTCTGAGATACCATTAACACAAACCCAATATTAACACTTCACATGATCTTGATTCTATCCCTCTGTTTATGCAGCCTGGAACTGTGTGTGCTTTTTTTTTTTTTTTGCAGCTGCTGCACACAGCTGGCTCATATTCAAGTAATTGTCCATTAAGACTCCAAGTTCCTGCTTCCAGTTACTATTGAGCAAGGTATCACATATACTGTACCTGTGCATTTGGTTTTTCTTGCGTAAATGTAGAACCTTACTTTTTTCACCATTGAATTTCATTTTGTTAGCTAGCGCCCAATGTTCAAGTCTGTCCAGATCCTTCTGGATCTTAAGCCCATCTTCTGGAGTGTTGGCTATTCCTGCCAGCTTGGTGTCACCCGCAAATTTTATGAGTTCCCCATCTATCCCCTTGTCCAAGTCATTGATGAAGATGTACTGGGTCTAAAACAGAGCCTTGGGGTACTCCACTGTATACTTCCCTCCATGTAGATGCAGTTCCATTCAGGACTACTCGTTGAGTGTGGTTGGTCAGCCAGTTACAAAGAGGATGGAGAAATGTGAAGATACTCCAATTCTTTTCTGAATGTTTTTTTTTTATTTTTACCATTTTCACTGTTCTGTAATGTTGGAATTGTAAGCTGCTTGATCGCTTGATTTAAGTTGTGCAGCTTGTTGAGGTAATTCCCCGTTAGGAGAATGAGCGCATACAGGGAGACGTAGTGAGAGTAATGTTGAATAACACACCCACAACACTGTACAGTAAATATAGGTTTTTACTTCCAATAAATGTTTAAGCACAGTCGAAGATAAGCAGTCCAAGTCATTCACAGGTAAAGCAGTCAGTTTTCAGTCCAGGGATAATCCAAATATCAAAGTCCGTTATCAAAAACAGTTCAGTAACAGACTTACATCAAATCCAAGAATAAGAGTCAATTAGGAGGAATGGCAATACTCTCCAACAGAACGAAACAGAGACTCCCTGAGATGTCTTCTGAGACTACACAACCCAGGTTTCTGGTTCCATCTTATGGCCTTTTGAAAAACCACACCCAATTACAGTTTTAGCATTTTCTTAAAGACATAGTATTAAAATGTCTATCCTAGTTTATATATTTCCAACCCAAATTAACTGTTAGATGACTTACATTCCTAACACAGCAACAGAAATGGAAGGTATCAGGCATGCTGCAAGGAATGGACGTTTGTCTAAGGAAGCGAACTGGAGGCGAGTTTGTGTATGTGTGGTGGTGGTGGGGTTTGCATGCAAGAGGAGGCTGGCCAGGATGGGAGAAACCTCCAGAACAGAGGAAAGATTGAAGAGGAGGAAGGAAGAGGAGGAAGAGGGGATGAAAAAACATGAGAGTAAGCGAGAGGGGAACCACAGAAGGGGAATTATTGATGGCAATACTGGGAAATGGAGGGAGATGGAAACAGAGCAATATTTCTCAAACTCTTAAGGCACGGGGACTTCAACTTCCAAAATTCCCCAGCAAACCAAAAAAGGATTAAGACTTTGGAAAAAGTGCAAAGAAGAGAAACTAAGATGATTTAAGGGCCTGGGGACAAAAACACACTAAGAAAGGTTGCAAATTAACAATTAATCGTGGGCGCTTCGTAAGTGGAAGTGTTTAAAAGAGTCTAGAGACAGTCATTTATATAAATTGGTATACTATAACCTAATCCTACGTAGCTTTTTCTCTGGTAATATCACACTACTAACCAGAGCATACAAAACATTTGCTAGACCAATACTCGAATACAGTTCATCAGTCTGGAATCCACACTACGTATCTGATATTAGCACAATTGAGAAAGTCCAGAAATATTTCACAAGAAGAGTTCTCCACTCCTCTACTCGCTGTAGAATACCTTATGCCACCAGACTTGAAATTCTAGAACTAGAAAACCTTGAATTACGCCGTCTTCGGTCTGACTTAAGCATGGTATACAAAATCATACATTGCAATGTCCTACCTGTCAATGAATACTTCAGCTTCAACCATAACAACACAAGAGCACACAATAGATACAAACTCAAAGTAAACCGCACCAAACTTGATTGCAGGAAATACGACTTCAGCAATAGAGTGGTCAATGTCTGGAATACTCTACCCGACTCTGTAGTTTCTTCCCCAAACCCCAAAAACTTTAACCTTAGACTGTCTACTATTGACCTCACCCCTTTCCTAAGAGGCCTGTAGGGGGCGTGCATAAGCGCACCAACGTGCCTACCGTCCCTGTCCTTTTGTTTCTCTTATTCTTCTTTTATTTTTCTTATATGTACCCATTTCATGTATTCACAACTATGTATACACTTATACTTATTATCTTGTAAACAATTGGCAAATCAAATAAATAAAAATAAAATAAATAAAAACTATAGGGTCTCCAGCTTGAGCAGGGGGCTGGACTAGAAGACCTCTAAGGTCCCTTCCAGCTCCATTCTCTATTCTTCCAAGCTAGAAAACCAACGCCTGTAATATGGAAACCCGCTCCAGGCGTGATTATCTAGCTCTCCCACGCACCCACTTCTAACAATCCCGACACGGAAATAGGCCGACCACCTTGGGAAAAAAGAAGCCCGGGTCGTAAAGCAAAAAGACTCGCATCGGGCAAGAAAATAACGTGGGAAAGCCGAACCTAAAGGGGCGCAACTGCGCAGGCGCCGCTCTACACCCACACACGCCACCCCCCGCCCGCCGGCGCCCTCCTCCTTTCCTCCCCTCCTCCTTGTTGGCGCCTGCGCGCGCCCGCGCCCGCGAGACAGAGCGGCTTTTGAACGGCGTCGCGTCGGCCCAATGGGCGCCGCCCATCGGCCGCGCCGCCGCCAATGAGCGGCGGCGCTCGAACGAGGGGAGGGGGCGTGGCCAGCGACGCCACCCGCCTCCTTCTCCTGCTGCTGCTGCCGCCGCTGCTGCTTGATTGAGGGACCGACTCGTCGCGCGGCCGGAGGGACCCCCGCCAGCCTTATTTTTTTCCCTCCTTCCCTCTCCGTCGCTTCGCTGCCGCCGTTTCCATCCTCCTCTTCGTCCCTCCCCTCCCCTCTCCCCGCCGCCATCTTCCTCTGCCTTTCTTCGGCGCCCGTCGTCAGGTGAGCGCGGCCGAGGCGGTTGCCGCGGGGGGGGGGGGAGGGGGGGGGGGGGGGGGGGGGGGGAGGAGTAGGCAATGGGGAAGGGCTTGCTTTGCGGCCTGGGTGTGACGCGAAGGGGGTGTGGCCTGCGTCCCGCGCCTGCGCGGGCGCGCGAGGGAGGGAGGTAGGCAGCGGCGCAGGCGGCCTTACGTGGGAGGGGCGTGCCGTGACGTCACAGGGCGCGGGAATCGCGTCATAATCCCCGGACCGGCCTTGGAATTGCCCGGCGCGCGCGACCTGCACTTGGCTCCTCCTCCTTTTTTTTCCCCCCGCTCGAGCGAATTTCAGGGACGCGTTTCTTCAGTGAGGCCTCAAGTTTTGGAAAGAAGGTAGGCCGGGCCGGCCATTTTCCTCACGCCGGGCATGGAGGCCACAGCGCCATTGTTGCGGAGGGAAGGGAAGGGAGGAGGGGCGAGCGGAGAGGCCTTTTTTTTTTTGCCCGGAAGCCCCTGCAGGGAGGACCCTTCCTCGGGCCCACTCCTATTTTTTTTTTCGACGTTTTGACCCTCTTCTAAAAAGCCCCCATGTCGGAATCCTCTGCCCCTCGTTGAGGGACGGAAATTCCAGATATCCAGACAAAATGGCCTACCTAACGGCAGCTGTTGAGGCGCGGGGCTCTCCGAGCTACGTTGTTTTGAAGGGGCGGGAGGGGGAGCAAATCGTTTGTCTGAAATGGTATGGGTTTTTTTGTTTTTTTTGAGCAGGGGGTTTGGACTAGAGCAGGAGCTTGTGGGCTTCCAACTCCCAGAATTTCGTCGTCCCCCCCCCACCAGCCATGCTGGCTGAGGAATTCTGGGAGTTGAAGTCCACAAGTCTTAAAGTTGCCAAGGTTGGAGACCCCTGGACTAGAGGACCTCCAAGAATAGAATAGAAAAAATGTAGAAAAGAATAAATGTAGAATAGAATAGAATAAGGGGATGGAAATTAGAATAGAATAGAATTCTTTATTGGCCAAGTGTGATTGGACACACAAGGAATTTGTCTTGGTGCAAATGCTTTCAGTGCACATAAAAGAAAAGATACATTCGTCAAGAATCATCAGGTACAACACTTAATGATAGTCATAGGGTACAAAAGCAGTCAAATCATACCAGGAAACAGTCAATGTAAGTCATAACGATACAAGCAACAAAGTTACAGTCATACAGTCACAACTGGGAGGGGATGGGTGATAAGGAATGATGAGAAGATTAATAGTGATAGTAGTGCAGACTTCGTAAATAGTTGGACAGTGTGGAGGGAATTATTTGTTTAGAAAAGGTCCCTTTTCCGATGCTGTGATTTTGTGGAATGGAAAGAAGGACCAGGGGGGACATGGCAGCAGGATTCCAGTATTTGAGGGGCTGCCCAAAGAAAGGGGGGGTCAAACTATTCTCCAGAAGCCACTGAGAACGGGACAAGAAGCAGTTGATGGAACTCATCAAGGAGAGAAGCAACCTGGAATTGAGGAATTTCCTGACAGAACAATTAACCAGTGGAATGATTTCCCTCCAGAAGTTGTGGGTGCTCCAACACTGGAGGTTTTTAGGAGGAGATTGGAGAAGCATTTGTCTAAAATGGGATAGTTTTTCCTGCCTGGGCAGGGGGCTGGACTAGAAGACCTCAAAGGTCCCTTCCAACTCTGTTATTTTGTTTTCTTGCAGACATTTCATTACCCAGCTAGGTAACATCAGTATCTGGAAGAAACTTCTGCAGCCAACGGTCCAGCTCAGTGAGCACCGAAGTCCCTAATTAGAAATATTCTCTAATATTATCTTACAAGACTATATAGGAGAAGAGTAAGGTCATAGCTTGCAGTGTGTAGGTTAAGTAAAATGTTAAATCTCATAGTGGATGCTAGTCATTTATTAGTTTATTTTAAGAAAAAGAACTAAATGAGAATCCTGCTTGTGAATTAAATCTCTTGCAAAACAGCTTTGTTTCAGGGATAGTTTAATCCTTAAAAAACTGCAAAAGATTGTTTGCAAACGCCTGTTTATAGGAGACTGGCTCGGAGGTCAGTAGTTCCTTTCTGCCACCTTGCTATTAATAGAGGTAGTCCTCTACTTACAACAGTTGATTTAGTGACTGTTTAACAATGGTGCTAAAAAAAGCAGCTTTTGGCCATTTTTCACACTTAACGGCCAGTGCAGCATCCCCATGATCATTTGGTCAAAATTCAGGTGCTTGGCAACTGGTTCATACCTATGACCATTCCAGCCTCTCAGGATCACGTGATTCTGACAAGCAAAGTGAATGGAGAAACCAGATTCACTTAACAAGTTACCAACTTACCAACTCCAGCAGGTAGATTTGATTTAAATCAAGTCAATTTAAATTACAATTTAAATCATGATTTAAATCACTAGTAAAAAGGCTTGATTTAAATCAATTTGATTTAAATCATAATTTTAAAAGGGCAGCTGTCATCTCTGTCCTGCAGCAGCTCCTCCTCTGACCTGCTTTTGATCCACTGACAGTCCCAATATTGCAGAATATACAGCCTCATTCTACATAACTAAGCTCCCATTCATCCTGAACAAACTAAATTATTAATGTATCTTACATAGACAACTTTTTAGGTAGATTTTTGCTCCAAAAGCATTTTATTAAAATAAATTGGCTTAAAAAAATGATTTAAATAAAATCCATTTTTTAATTTTTTTTAAAAAAATCAATTTTTACCCACCCTGAACTCCAGTGATTCACTTAACAACTCTGGCAAGAAATGTCGTAAAATGGGGCAAAACTCACTTAACTCACTCAAAAATAGTAATTTTGGGCTCAATTGGGGTCATAAGTCGAGGACTATTTATATATAATACTTCTGTCAGGAGGGTAAGGCTAAATAGTTTATCCTGGAGGTAATGTGTGCAGTTATTAAGAGGGAATACTAACTTAATAGCACATACAGGGATCTAAAATGTTGATGCTCTGTTAGTACGCATAATCCTCGTTCGGTATTATTAACTGACTCAGCGTTCTAGGCAAAGTTAGTTGGGCTTTGTGATCACTTTGAAGTTAATCAAATGTCTGCATGGCTAAATAGAGCTTTGAACCTGAATCTCTAATCATTGCAGTGCCTTATTGGTGTGAGAGTTGGAAGACTGGCCCTATTATAGAGAAAGATTAGAAAGACACACTTCAGTGTTTTTCTCCATAAAAGAGACTAAAGTTTGGTGAGTTAGTGTGGGAACTTTCTGTGTGAGCTATTATTATAGTGCTACTGTTTCCATGCTTTGTTTAGAATCACTACAATTTGAATTGAAGACATGGTACTTCACAATAAAAATACAAAGGTAGCAGAAGATCCAACTTTTACTGGTCACATATAGTAAGAAGTTGTTAGAATCTTTGTTCTTTCCATGATAGATCAGTATTAGGCCAGCCTTTTTCTCATGAAAAGGGAAGGTAAAGAAAATGATCTGACAATGATGTGTCTGTCCTTGGATGCAACAAAACTTATTTTTGATACATATAAAATTGGGATTAGAAGGCATTTAAAAAAAAATGGTTGCATCAATTAAGTTTAATAAGTATGCCATACTGTGTAATTTTTTGGACAATCATTTTGTCCAGGATGGAATAAAGACTCCTGCCTTGGGCAAGGGTTGGACTAGAAGTCCTCCAAGGTCCCTCCCAGCTTTATGATTCTACTTTAGTTAGAAGGGGGGAAAGTCATCGAAGCATCATGAATGTACGTCAGTATACTGCGTGTCACTCTGCTTGATGGGAAGTAAGCGAGGGTATATTAGCTTTCACAATAACCTCTAGATACAGATCTGAGGTTCCACAGAATAGCATTAAGGTGCTTGGGCTGGAAGTGGACTTCAGTTATGGCATATTGACTAGAATGTGCTAATGCTTTTTAAAGTTTTTTTTTAAACTTGAATATATCTTCTGTTAAACAGTGTGTTGTCTGGGTGCAAATCTCTGCTATTACAATCAAAATGTACAGTATATGTTACATTGATAATTCTCTAATCTTACAATAATAATCAGCATTATGATTCTATTCGTTTCTCCCTCTTAACATATCTTCTAATGAAAATATATTAGGTATAATAGTCTTCATAGTAATAATCACATTGTTTATATCTCTGTCTTAACATATATTCTTTATTTTACTAATCTCCATTTATTTCTCACTTCTGTTGTTCTCCAACCATCCATAGCATAGCTCCCATGTCATATAATATTCAGTTTGTTTTTTCTCCTTTATAGCAAGTGTTAGTCTATTCATTTGTGCTCTTAGTAGCATCGAGTAGTGCTACCTGTATAGTAAGTAGTATGTGAGTAAAATACTCCATTTCTATACAGCATAAATAAAAAAAACTCTGTGAAAGCCTTGGTTAGCCACATATATGTTATTCCTTACGGGCAGCAGAAGTCTATTTTTGGGCTTTTTTTGTTTTGGTTTTGCTAACAGTAGTATATGGAAATATTGATTTAGAATAAATGCAGGAAATCGATGATTAAAAGTTGATAGATAAGGTGCATGAATAAATGAGAACTGTCAATGATGAGTGTCAGTTTAGAAAAAAAAAAGTCAAGTGTGTGATTTACAGCAGGTTTACTCTGTAACATAGCAAATGAATTCATATTAATTGAAAAGCACGATTGGTTTGATTATTTATGATGACGGGCTGAGACAATTGGCAGAGGTGAGGAGTATGGTGGAGTGGGGTGGATTTTGGTAGTGTCAAAGGAGAACCCTGTTTTAAAAAAAAAGGGACCTGGAAAAGAGGAGAGTAAAAAAAACAGCACCTGTCCTTTGGAACCTTGTTCCCCCTTTGCCAGCTAGTCTGGGGAATCTGGCCATGTTGGTAGACAGCCTAACAGGTAATCCTCATCTTACAACAGTTCACGTAGCAATCAAAGTTACCATGGCACTGAAAAAAGTGACTTATGACCCCTTTTCACACTTATGACCAATGCAGCATCAAGTGATTTACATTTGGATGCTTGACCACTGATTCACATTTATGATGGTTGCAGCGTCCCGGGGTCACATTATGCAACCTGACAAGCAATGAGTCAATGAGGAAACCAGATTTACTTAACAGCCGTGTTGTTAATTTAACAACCGCAGCGATTCACTTAGCAAATGCGGCAAGAAAAGTGGTAAAATGGGGCAAAACTCACAACAAATTTCTCACTTAGCGATGTCAGTTTTGGTCTCAATTGTGATGGTAAGTTGAGGACTACCTGTAACTATGTTTTTAGGAATGGAATGGTGCTTCCCTGCAGATTATCTTTTAATGTTTAATTATTTTAACGGTTTTTTGCAGGGTTTTTTCCCCTCTCTCTATTGCTTGTTTAATTCTGTAAACCAGGGGTGGGATGCTAGCGATTTGGCCCGGTTCTATAGAACCTGTAGCTGCGAAGAGCAGCTGACACCGAACCAGTTCGGTGTTTGGCCCACCCGCCTGCCCGGGCTCTAGGCTGTCTTTTATTCCCTGCTTTTCCTTCCTCAGCTGCTTTGCGTGGCACAGCTGAGGTTGAAAAAGCAGGAAATGAGGATTTTCAAACGATGTGCACCCAAGCGCAGCTGTCCAGGTGGCACAGCTGATGATTTCTTGCAAACGCTGCACACACGATTGTCCGCAGTTCAGAAAACCGGCAAATTGCTCCACTGGCTGGCCCCTCCCCTCCCACTCACTCCTTACCTGGTATGTGAGCCATCCAACTTTGGTAAGTTGCTATTTTTCCTCCCCCCCCCCCGACCATCAGCTGTTCTGCTCTGGTGGGAGATTTAGATTAGCTAGAAAGCAGGAAATCCTTGGATTTCTTGCTTTGGATCTAATCTAAAAACAGAGCCGAACCTTCCTTACGACTGAAGCTTTTCAGTGCAGACTCAGGTAGCCGATTGTAGATAGATCTCTAAATTAATCTGTGATTCTGTGAGCAACTCAATCTGCCTGCCTGCTTTGCCTGATTTTGGGTAAAAGTTTCTCTTTTTTTAATAAAAGAATCAATATTTACATAAATACAATATTTACATGTAAGCCATGCCCACCCAGTCACATGACCACCAAGCCACACCCACAAATTAGGCCACACCCACAGAACCGGTTAAGAAATTTGAATCCCACCCCTGCTGTAAATCTCCCAGATTTGCAGCCGTGAGATGGTCTACTATGGAAATTTAATAAGTGAATGAATAAACTAGAACAATTGTAGGCTGAGAAAGTATCAATTCTGTATGAAAATAACTATATTTGAATTGAAAATTGGCATAGAGGGATAAACAAGTATCTAGCAAGGGTAAGAACAGTGGTAATTTCTGCAAAACAACTGCAAATTAAATAATCTGAAAAAAAAAACAACTTTAGGGGTAATTCAGAACAAGTCATTTCTGAGGAAGAACATTTGGGAAGGAAGTAACTAGGTTGGCAATAGTTGAGGTAACTCTTCCTAAAAGCTACAAAGGGCCATATTTGGGAGCCATTTAGTTGGCAACTTCGACTGGTGTTTAGCAAGATAAAATGTGGGTTAGGCTTAACTTTCCTTATATACTTTATTCTGCCCGGGTGCTTTGGAGAATAAGAACAGAATGGCGGAGTTGAAAGGGACCTTGGAGGTCTTCTAGTCCAACCCCTTGCCTAGGCAGGAAACCCTATACCATTTCAGACAAATGGTTGTCCAATCTCTTCTTAAAAACTTCCAGTGTTGGAGCATTCACAGCTTCTGGAGGTAAGCCATTCCACTGATTAATTGTTCTCACTGTCAGAAAATTTCTCCTTAATTCTTGCTTGCTTCTCTCCTTAGTTAGTTTCCTTCCATTGCTTCTTGTCCTGCCTTCAGGGGCTTTGGAGACCTAGATGAATACATTGTTTAGCTTGGGATGGGAGGACGCTGCAAGGGGGGGAAAAAAGAGTACTGAATAAGTTGATCATTTCTCCCTCTCTGCTGATTACCTTTTCCAAGTTACTCTTGGTAGAATATGCTGACGAACCAAGCATGTACGTGGGAGTATAAAACATGAAGAAATACACAAATTGCCTGGTGTAATTCGAACCAGTGGATGAACTTCTTCTTATATTGTATTTCACTATCAGATTGACACGTTTTTTTTTGAAAGAAGATCCCAAAGGTTTGACAGTTTAGCCTTGTAATTTTTTTAAAAATAGTTTTTGTTTTGCCAGTAGGTCCATTCTGGAGTATTCAGAAGGTGGAAAAGTTTAAAAAAATCATAATTGAATTCTCCCCCCCCCCCATATCAAATATGGTAATAGTGACTGAATAGAATACAGGTATACAGGAATAATTTCTTTGTTCAAAACCTAAGTTTCTGTAACTGATAGACAGCATTCTTAAAGATCACTTTTCCTTTTTTTATTGGATTATTCTTAATAAAACTGCATATTATTACCTTTACTGTCAGGCTCTTGTAATAGGCAGTGTTGTTAAAGATGAACTTTTGGTGTAATTGTTATGTGGAAATAATTGACTGACTTAAAAAATTTCAACTGCAGAAGAGTGCTGCAGTTCCCTCGCAGAAAGGCCTTTTCTGTTTTAACTTAGGCATGTATTTTGTCCACTGTCACCCCCCCCCCCCCCCCGTGAATTTTACTTCCTTTTTTCTCACCACTGGGCATGAAACAAGCTTTTGTCCCTGGGAAAATTTATGTCAATTAGCATTGGTTCCGTAGCGTACGTGTGCGGAATGGAAAGGGCAGGGTATGACTCCCACCGTGGTATTATTTCCAGAATAAATTGGAACACATTCTTGCTGAAAGTTCTTGTTTCAACGCTATCGTTTTACTCCTTCCCTGGGAATGTGTGTATTTGTCAGAAAATAGAAAATAACAGTTCAGTGATTGGCAGGTTCTGTGGTCTAGTTCAAAATCTTTGCCGTCCGCTGGCAGTTTCGCTGGAAGTCCTCCATAGATGTACATTTGTGTTGCATTAAATTGTGATGTCATTCAAGTGTATCCAGAGGAAGAAGGAAGAATCTGCTTTTGAGCAAGCTCTTGTGCAGCTGGCACACCCAGATCCAACTAGTTGTAGGCTGGGCGTTCTACTGAGGATAGAGCTGTGTTTGGGCATTTGTGGTTGACTGTCTAGAGCAGGGGTGTCAAACTCAGGGTTGTGTTTGACCTTGGGCTGGGGTGGGTGTGGCCAAAGTGGGCGTAGCCAGCATGACATCACTTGTGCTGGGGGTGCCTGTGGTGGCCTGAGCGCTCTGCCAATGAAAACGGGCTCCTGAGCTCTGTTTTTGGCTGCAATGGCCTGCAACCCTCTGCCAGCGAAAACAGAGCTTGGTGGGGGGTGCGTCGCCCTCCTGAGCTCTATTTTCACTGGCAGAGGCACTGCGAGCCGGCCCGCTATTTCCAGGGTGGCCCTGTGGGCCAGATTTGGCCCCCTGGCCGTGAGTTTGACACCCCTGGTCTAGAGAAGAGGTTGTCCAACCTTGGCAACTATAAGATCTGTGAACTTCAACTCCGGGAGGGAGGGAGGGAGGGAGGGAGGGAGGGAAGGAAGGAAGGAAGGAAGGAAGGAAGGAAGGAAGGAAGGAAGGAAAGAAAGAAAGAAAGAAAGAAAGAAAGAAAGAAAGAAAGAAAGAAAG